AAAAATTCAGACTTGTGTATTAGCTCTGAAGTATGTATAACCTTATCTATACTTTAGATGTGCAATTGCACTAATTCAGACACTAGTTGGCTTCATGTAATTTCATTTTTTTTAAATTTTAAGCCTTTCGATTTGGAATATTTTTTCCATTAAGTTTATTGGTACATTTAAAGCAAGCAATGCAATGCAGTTACACTTATTATTGGGATTTTGTACCTTTGCATGACATATCTTGTTTCATGCCCTCGCTTTTATCACCTTCATCCTTTCCTATTTACAAAGACTCTGTTTCCATTTTTTCATTTTCCACCTTTTTTCTTTCCCTTATTCCTCTAATTTCATTTTTGAAGAACATAAACAAGGGTGAAAATCATGCTTAATATTTTCTCAAAACATCCTACCTAATGTTTGCTTTATAAGTGCACAAGTTTAATTAATTTGAAATATAAATATATTATAAACATATTTAATAAGATATATCATATTTAATAAAATACATTATGAATATGAAATATATACTTAATAACGTTATATATATATATATATATATTTAGGTAGATAATACAGTTACATTCATCACTGGGGACTTGTATTTTTACAAGATGTATCTTGTTTCTTATTTTTCCCCTTTTCCTGACCTCCCTTCACCCTCGAAACACCTCTCTATTTAGAGACTTTGCTTCTATTTTTCCATTTTCTCATATTTCTTCCTTTCCTCTTCCCCTCCCACTTTCCCTATCCCTTTAAAACTTTTATTCCTATTTCACATTACCAATTACACATTTTGATCATTATTTACACTTTTAGTTTTCCACTCCAGAGAAACTGTTTGGTATTTACACATGTGTGTGTCCTATTTATTTCATTTAAGAGTTTGGCCTCAATGTGCATCCGTAAGTGTATGCATGAGTTCTTAAATGTATCAGTGTTTGTAAGAAAGAATGAGGGAAAGAGTAAGGCAGAAACAGGGAGAGAAAAAAGGAGGAAGAGGAAGGGATAGTTGGGAATAAGTGTGTGCATGCATATGATGTGTTCATGTATATTTGCAATTGTGTGTCAGTGATGGTACATGGATGCGATGTATGTGCAGGGAGAGAGAGAGAGTGATACTGGGAGATAATTTCCAGCTTACTTTTTGTGAAATGTATCTTATTCTGAAATCTTGTAAAGAAAAAGCCAACATTAGAATGTGTAGGAGTGTTCATGAATATTTAAAAGGATTTCCTCTATTGGACAAATATCGATCAGGGATTTAGCTCAGTGGTTCCACCACCTGCCTTCTAAGCCCAAGGTCCTGAGTTCAATCCCTGGTACCAAAAAAATAAATAAATAAATAAATAAATAAATAAATAAATAAATAAAAATAAATAAATAAATAAATGATGACAAATTTAGTAGGTTCTGATGGTAGGAGTGACTTATCCAGTAGAGTTGAACTAATGTGATACTTTCAATTAGAGTTCCTCATGCCACAAAGAGACATTGGAGAGCTGTGCGCTGTTTCATTGGAGATCACATGCAAAAGATTCTATTTCCATCCAATTCGTCAGACATCAAAGTCACAAAAAAGAAAATCCTTACTTTTTAATATTTTGAATTAATACAAGTCTCATCGCAAGGAAAATTAGTTATGTATTTTCAATGCTGCAAGAAAGCGTAAGAATGCAAAATTAATTCTTTAATTTCCCAGGTGTGAAAGAACAGTTATAGACCTTTCATTCTAATATTATCTTCATATTTGCATATGCTATCAACCCAAAATAGTAAACATTCAGTAATATTTTTGCTTTAGAAAGATATTTATCTCTTAAAAGATCTACTCTACAAATAATATTTTAATTTATATTTTAAAATTTATTATTATGAATTCACTTTTTGGTAGAGATCCAATCTTCTCTAGCTTAACATATCATTGTTATTCAAAAGAAATCTTTATATTTCTGCTCTATTCTTCACCAGAACCCAAATTCTTTATTTTATTAAATATTTTTTAATTGAATTTATTGGTACATTCTAAGTAGACAGTACAGTTACATTCATTACTGGGATCTTGTAACTTTACATGCCAGGTCTTGGTTCTCATTTTACCCCTTGTCCCCGCCCTCCCTTCATATTTTATTAAATATAATTAGGGCATGAAACTTAATGACTTAACACATATTGTGAATAATCGCCATAATTAAGCTTACTAACTTAGCTGTAACCACACATATTTACTTTTCTTTTTTGGTGGAAACACATAGAATTTATGCTCTCAACAAATCTGAAATGTACAGTACAGCATTGTTATTCCTAGTAACTCCAGAACTTATTCATCTTTTTCTCTCATCTTTCATGACTGGAATGTAGGGTTTTCAGCACTTTTATTCCTTCAATATTGAAATCACTCTTTAGTAACTTAGCCGAATTTCTTTTTCTTTTTCTATTAAAGAAGAAAAGTTGTCACTTCATTATCTTTTGACCTACAAATATATAAATCTAATATAAGAATACAATTTTTGTCGCTTTTTCTCTTATGCAGTGAGTCCTTTCTCTCCCCATGGTGATTTCAAGATGTTTTCATCTCTGTTACTCATAAGTTCAAAAATAATATCTATGAATATTTCATGTTTGCTTGTTTAAATTTTGGGCACTGTTCTCAGGGAACTCTGAGGTTTTCAGATCTGTGGTTGTCTACTTTTTGTGTTTTTGAAAACATTAAACATTGGATCTTCTAGTGATTCTTAATACTGTTGTTCTCTTCTTTTTCTATTTTGCATGCAGTTATGCTATATAATTTTATATTTCCCACATTTGTTGGAGAATCTAGGTTTTTACATTATTTTACCTCCCTCTTTTTATCTGGCTTGTATTAGGAAATTTCTATTGATCTAACTTAAAGTTCACTTGTCCGTTTCCTGACTTTACCAAAGTAGATTCATGAGCACTTTGAAGGCTTTCTTCATCTTTGTGACTGTGTATGTGTATGTCCAGCACTATATCATTCTAGTTCTTTTATTTAATTTCCATCTTTACAGAATGTATCCATTTGCTCATACATACTGATTATTTTTCAAGAGAGCATTTAGCGTATTAAATATAGTCATTTTATTTCCTTTCCCAGATAGATCCACACTATGATTGTTTCTGAAAATTGATAATCATTTTGATTCCTTTCATAGATTTGTCTTATTTGGCCTCTTTGTTTTTGAAAATTTTAATTTATTGTAGACTATAGTGCCTAGGTGATTAGAGACCAAGATAAAAAAAATGTTCCTTTAAACAATATGTTTTTTGATGGTACAAGGTAGGTTAGATCAATTCTGTCATGGGTTGAGCTGGGTTTGTATTTTCTTGTTTCTATGGTTACCTCAGTACCCTAGAGGCTTCACATATTTCTGGTGTTACCTTAGAATGAAGTCCTTGTATTGGAAAGTTTTTCTCATTTTTACTTCTCCACTTTTGTCTTTGTCTCTTCCTGCATGTCGTTCCCTCAAGTGAGTCACTTTACATCTTTGGCTCTCACCTAGCTGTAGACTAGTGTGTCTTCCTGCTAATTTTCTCACTGGCTATCCAAGGTGAGCGCTGTCACACTTCTTCTCTCGTTTTACCTGGTGGCAGCAGATCTCCAACGGCTCAGCTTCAGAAAAGTTTTAAGGAAGAGTCCTCTCTCCCTTCATGTGCAGTGTACTGCCATCAGGAGAGCAAACATATTCAGTGCCTACTCCTTTTTTTTCTTATTAAATTAAGGGAAATCATGAATTATGAAATGAAATTCATTAACTATAAAATGTCAAGTAACTCCTGGTTACTTTTTACATTACATTTAAATAGGAAAATTATTTTGTTGTTGTTACTGTTACCCATTTCCTTATCTTACCGGTTCTTTGGGGTGTAACTGCACATTGTTGCTCATTCATTGCTAAGTATTGTTTTTTAAAATAATTTTTTATAATTGTGGCATTTTGCTTATTAAATATTTACTAAAGATATACAAAATATTTATTTGATCAATTTTAGTAGTAACCATAAGTCCTTCCTACTGCAATGAAATTTCTATTTTTATTACTCACTGTTTATTTTTCCTTTTGCTTTCTTTTCATTTGAATGTTTATTTTTGTGCAGTTTATGCTACACATGTTGCTGTAAATAAAATTAAGTTATTTAATTTTTAGTTCAATGAGGCTGACATTGTTACCTATATAGAAAGTATTGCCTATTTTATGTATAGTAACAGAAGAACTGGAAACTAGCTGAGCAGGCTGATATTCATGAAATTTTCTTAACCACTGTGACTTATATTTTGTTTCTAATTTAATTCAAACTCTCCTGCTTGTAACTTTCAGTGTCCAGGTGCATTCATGCACACTCGTATTTTTAAAAAATATACAAGGTTCCATAAATATCTTTTTTGTTATATTACTCACAAATGATAATCCTGTTTGGAAAAGTGTTTTGCTCACTTATTTTAATTTAATTCTTCTACAAATGTTGCTCTACTATATTTTACAATTTAATAAAGTAGGGCAAAAATTTGCTTTTTATTATTTTGTAATTTGAATGATTTTTGTGTGAATAATATAGACTCTTTCTTTTGTTCTTAATATTAAAAATGCCCTAACCCAATGAGTCTTTCTTTTTCTTGATTTTATCAGTTCTGGTAACTTTTATGCTCACAGAAGTATATGGTGGCTAATTTTGTTTAAGTGTATTTATTTTCATTTTACAAATAAAGTCTTTGTAATTTTTTCCCAGAGCCTTATTACTGAACATTAATTACCCACATTTGACATCCATATGTTCTGTCATCTGCATCTATTATTCTAATTTCTAGTTTTGCCTGTATATTCCAGAGAGATTTATTTAAAATGCCTTCAACACAACCAAATACTTTTTTTCTCCTGCTAATTCTGCCTTTACTTCATCAGATATAGATTATATTCTCATTGTTTGGTATTTAAGATTCATTAACCATTTAACTTTCATGAATTACTCCTGTATTTTGGTCAGGTTATGAACTTTTAAAAATCTTGTAATTTCTTTTTACCCCTAGCTTCTATGTATTTTAAAAAATGTAATAGATTAAAACAGTTGCCATAGGCACCTGCGATGGTGACTTCAACTTCCACTCCTGACTCAATATTGATGGAAGCAATCTGCTTAAAAATCTCAGAAGGACTGTGCAAATCAATCAGTCGCTTGTGGATTCTCATCTGGAAACGATCCCATGTCTTAGAACATTCACCACAAGGCGTTTTTCTTGTAGTGATTCTCAAGGTCTTAGTAGGCATGCGAACTGGTCCTTTCACTTTGAGATTCTTTTCCTTTGCACCTCTGATCAAGTCAGCACACACCTTCTCCAGGGATTTCACGTTGCGACTGGTGAGGGTAATCCTAATTCGGTGAATGGCCACCTCTGACTCCATGGGTGTCTTTCCAGTATCTTTAAAAGCCATGGCTGCGGCGCGGCTTCCTGATCGAGTTGTTCCTCCCAAGAGCGAACAGCGCGGTGAGTCAGGAGCAGGAGCAGACAGAGCTAAGGAGGCCCGCACCACAAGCACCTTTTAGCAGATGCCTAAGGCAACTGTTTTAATAAACTGATAATCAATTGCTAAAAAAAAATAAAAAAATGTAATAGAAAATTCAAGATTTAGGTGTTATCTAAGAGTATACAAAATTGTTTTAATACATATTTTTTGAATAGTTTTACGCTCTTCTCTTTTATACACTTCATATTTATTTTAGGAAAGAGGCTTTTCTCTCCTTTCATGTTTACTCTTTAGCACAAAGATCCATTTAAGCCTGGCATTTGCTGAAAAAGTATAGATTTTCCTAAAATTCTCTATCCTATTTGATCCCATTAGCATCATCTTCTAAAATGATAAGGCAGAAGAGTTCTATTGATATAAATTTTGAGAGCCAGTTCAATTATCCAACATCCAGATCAAGTTGGCAGACAGCCACAGCTACAGGAATTCATTTAGTTAAATTTTATATTCATACCATTTATTCTCTTTGGTGAGAATGCTGTGCCAGGGGCCATGTTTTCTGTGAACCAATTTTAGTTTGGCCCAATTACCATCCCAATTACTTTTCTCTGCCTCTGTCTTTTTAGTGCATCACATTTTGGAAGAAGCCATGCTTTATCAAGAAGCAGTTTCCAATGGAGTGGTTTTTGCTTGAGGTTACTGATATGAAAAGCTAAAATCCTCATAACTTAATTGGTATGGAAGTCAGTGAGTCACAGATATGAAAAGGACAACCCTGAGAATTTTTTGGCTTGTTCTTTGTGTGTCAAGTCTGAATGTATATTTTCGGTTTTTATAGCCACCACTCCTGCCTTCTGTAAATGTGGAACTTAAATGCATGTGTCAGAGAAAATGTAGAAAGTAAATGCATACTCATCCTTCCAAAGGTGGACGTTTCTTAAATGAATTTAACTAAATTTTTAGTAGTAACACAGATCTTTGAAGTTTTGTGACATTCCAGTGATCATTTCAATATTCATAAAAGCTAAGGTTATCACTATGTCATAATTATACTTCCATATCTTGAAATTTTGAAATATGTTAGTCATTTTAGACATATTCTTTTAGCTTTGTCATTATCTTTTCTTCCAGCCTTAATACATTTTTTATTCTTCTTTTCTTCTGAATGCATTTTTATGGCCATTTTACTTGCAATATATACTTCATCATCTTACTCTTGTAGTATTTTTTTTAGTCTATAAACATCTTGTAAGATTATTCATTTCACATATATTCTTTAACATGATTTCAAACACACATTCAAATATAGCTAACTATACATATCTTTTAAATTCCAGTGTTTCATTATACTGAGCTGTTTTATGAAACTCATAATTAGGGTACTCATAGATACATTCAACTGCAACATACCAGATTATTTTTAATAAGATGATTTTATGGCTTGTATTCAGATGACCCCTTCGGGCCTCATGAGTTCAAAGGTGGAGCTTTTTGGACATGGCTGGATCTAGGGTATGTGATACTGGGCTTAAGGATATGATGTTGGGGTTAATTCAAAGAGAGATGCTAGGATTAAGAGTGACTCAACCTGGGTGGTGCCCACTATTAGGGTAGAATTTAAAGGACAGAAAGAGGGCTCCAATTTATTATTCTTTATGGATGAGTAGTATTCCATTTTGAAGGGAGGGCAGAGGTATGGGGAAAAAATGAGAACCAAGAACTGTCATGTAGAGGTACAAGAGCCCAATAATGAATGTAACTGTACTGTATACCTAAAATGTACCAATAAACTCAATGAGGAAAAAGAAAAAGAAAGAGGGCTGCTGTAGTTGCTGGTTGTTGCTTGCTGCTTCACTAGTTCACTGCTTGCTTCCTTACTGCCTTCTGCCTGCTGTGAAGTGTTTCTCCTGCGCCAGGCCACTCTGCCTTGGAGACAGCAACTATGAACTGAAATTTCTATAAACTGTGAGCCACAATAAACTTTTTTTCCTTTAACTTTGGATGTTGGCCATTTTGTCTCAGCAATAAAAAAAAATAAATAAATAAATATATAAATAAATAAAGCCAAATTTTGTATATTCTCTTTTAAACTGTTTGACATTAGTTTCAAAATTATCTAATGCAGAGAGCAGGAATCAGTTCTTAATTGTGTGACTAATAATGACAAAAAATCCAAATTCGTTAATGTTCTGCTATTATTGCTTTTATTGTTTGTGTCTACATTTCTCTGTGCTATGGTTGATATGGTAAATCTTTGAAAATAATTTTTGACTACACTATAATAACTATTTCCTCTGTGGCTCTCTATTTCATCATAAACATCCACAGGCTCTTTCAAATTTTCATGAGTTCCAATTTTTCCTACTATATATTTCATAATACATATTTTCATAATATGTTTCATAATACATATAACAGATAGTTTATATGTATTTTCTTAAACATTAAATGTTTTTTAAAAAATATTGTCTCTTGTTCCATGACACATTTGTCATAAGATTGCCTTTTCAATTGTCAAATGTGTTAGCATTTTCTATGTGTATCTCCCAACGCTTTGCACTGAGCTTTGAGGTCCTTCAAGTAACAAGTCGACTACTAGAAATTGTTTTATTATCAGCATATATTTTAGTACCTGCTATCCTGCATCTGTTTAAGAAAACTTTTCTAAAGAAAACACTAGTACTACATCAACATAATGAATCTTAGCACTTCTGCAAGCGTTACCAAAAGCTGAATATGTTGGCATTTCCTCTCAAGTACTGTAATATTTATTATAGTGTGTTTTCTTTCCTGTAAGGAAAATATCATTGTTTCTGGACTTACAGGTACTGATGGATAAAGTCATGTCTTTTTTTAAATTTTATTTATTTATTTATTTATTTTTCTTTTGGTACTAGGCATCGAACTCTGAAACTTGCTCTCATGTCTTGGTTTTATTTTATTTGGTTCTCAAATTTCAGAGGAGAAGCATATAATTACAGTATTTGCTTTTATTTATCAGTAATTTTTAGTCAATTTTCAAAATTAGAAAAGTTTCTGAAAATTGCCATAATATACTCCCTAAATTACCCATGCTAATACTTTATATCTTGTTAAAATTTTGCATAAACAACTAATTGAATAATTGTAGGAAAAGTTGTGAAATTGAATCTTTTTCTCAGAACTTAGATGTTAGGTTTTATGAAAGAAATTCTATATTTTTATGAATAATAGTATCATATTTAGTTATCAAATCTATCAGAAATATTTATTGAATTTATTATAAATTCATTTATGCCTTATAAAACATTGCATTGTGAATAAAATTATAATTATCATGATTACTGTGAGAGAAATATTTTACAAAAAGAGTAAATGTTTAGAGGATAGTACTTAATATTCAAACTGTGTTGTCAATTTAATTCCAAATTTATTTAAGTACACGTTTAACATATTACAAGATGAGTTACTCATTAAGTTCATTTTTAGACAAGCAAATCTCCAAATTTATTAATAGTAAAATATAAGGAAAACCCTGTTTTGATCAGAGAAAAATGATAACATTAACTCTCTTCTAATCACTGAAAACAACAGAGATTAAGGAAAACTGATTACCTACGTGAGATGAAAACATGGTATTTTATACACTTATATATATAGCACAACTTGAAATAAGACATGGACACATGATGACAGTCATATAGCACCTTCTTTATGTAGTCTTCAGAATCTAAGAGACTATAACATGAACAAAGCACTTGATTGGAGATAACAGTATAAAGTGCTAGAATAATTAGAATAATTCAAAAATACATTTAATATATGCATACATTTATATTATTTAAAATAAAGGTAAGCACTACATGAAATAGTGTAGCATATTTTATAATGCTGTGTAACATATGACTTGGAAAGAACAAAATTAAGTTACCACAGTACAAAAGCTAAGAATAAACATAACTAACAGAAATGGCAGATTTGGGAATGACAATAAATGAGTTACACAGCAATCATTTACTCATAATGGTTTGATAAACAATTTTAATTGGATAAAATAAGCAAAACAAAGGCCATCAAATGTAAACTTTGTAAATTACAAAATACTGAGAAAAATTAATTCTCAGGGTTTTAAAGTTGTTGAAAAATCAAGTGCCTTTGTACTCAATAGTGAGCTAGCTACTCTGGCTTTAAAATTAGCCCAGAAACACATGAAAAATCTACATAAATTGATGCACATAATAAAGCAGATCATGTAAGACATGGGAGGCATTCAACAAATGACCCTCAGCAGAACCATGTTGTATGCAGTCAGGAAATTAGACATCATATTTCCAATTCATTTTAACATTAGACCCATTGGTCTTTGAAATAAGAAACTTGTGTTTAAACATGTCAGAATTTAAATAAAATGTATTACTATATAAATACATTCTAGTGGGTGACTTTTAAATTGTGTCATTATGTAAAATGTAATATTTTCTTTTAGAGAGCTACTAAGTACTTCAGTTTTTACCAAAAAATGTTAGGTGATGCAAATGTGGTGAAAGTCAGAAATGAACTGGAGTTTTTAATGGGTTATATATGGAAAAAAAGTTTATCTATGGTTGTTTTTGTGAATGGCTGTTCTTGGAAATGATAAAAACATAAAAGTAAATAGCAATAAATTATAAAGTGCCTTTCAAAATAGACTATAGCTATTCTTATTCATGTAATTATATGGATTCATAATTCAGTAATTATGAGCCAAAGTTTTAAATAAAGTAAATAATTAAAATTATAGATCTATAATGCTATTATCAAGTAATGCTACATTGAGGGAAAAAAATTTGAATTTACACACAAGAAATGGTTTCTGGACAGTTGAAGATGTAGAGATTTATAAATTTTCTCACATTTTCATGAGTTTTTAATGTACTTTAAACAATTATATTCGTTTTCAAAACTTGAAATTTTTAGGGCCTACAGGCCCTAAAATTGAATAAGAATGATAAATAT